TTTGAACTTGGGGTCTTGCACACATTAAGATGTGACTCAGGCCTCCAGTCCTCACTTGCATCCTTGTAATTTCCAGTCCATTGAACTGAGTATTTTCTGAGCAATAAAAACGTTTAAATCCAGATTCTGTGAAGTTTTTCTAAGTAACTATTCTCTTCTGGAAAAAATATATATGTTATATTTAGAATCATTAGGAGTTGGTATTTCTATCCTACAGTGCCCAGGGACACATCTCAGCCTATCTTATGTCTCTTCCATTAATCTATGACACACAGGGAAGGTAGTAGCACTTCTATCTTAGCTACCAAGTCCATTTCTAAGAATCGAAGAGTGACAGCACTCTGTTACAATTGCCTAGGCTGCAAGGTGGATGGAGGGGAAGGAAGGGGATACTGAGATGTGGTCATACTTAATGGCCTGCAGTTATCCATGAGCACCATTCCCTGTATGGGATTTGACTTTCTTTTGTTGGTCCAGGGATATGAATTTAGGACCGTGAGCTCACCAGGCCAGTAGCACCCTCCCACTTGAGCTATTTATTTCCCAGATAGCATCTCCCACATTTGACAGGTAGGCTGCTGAGATCTTGCTACCTCTTGCTCTGGAGTATCTAGGATTACAAGGGTGATAAAAATAGGCCCACATTAAAAAAAACTTAAATAGGATGCTCAAACTTTTTAACGTTTTGGCAAGACTTTGGCTGATTAACATTTTATTCACGTGTGATGGCTACCAAATTGGATTTTTAAAATTTTTTTATTATGAAAATACCGTACAGAGGGGTTACAATTGCATGGGCAAGGTAATGAGTACATTTCTTATCAAGCATTGTTTCCTCCGCCTTGTTTTCCCCTTCCCATCCCTTCCCATCTCCCCCACCCCACACCCCCTACCAAAGTTGTAAAGTTCATTTTTCAACATAAGGATTTGTACATCTCATTGTTGCAATAGGTCCACCTGTAACCCTATTGAAACAATTTGTTTTTGCCCTTCCCCTCCACAAATTATCCAAGACTCCATATAGAGCTCCCCTATGACCCAGCAATACCACTTTTGGGCATTTACCCAAATGCTCACAAACAAGACCATACTAAAGCTACCAGTACAACTATGTTTACTGCAGCATTGTTTACCATAGCTAAGATATGGAACCAATCCATATGCCCCTCAGTAGATGAATGGATCAAGAAAATGTGGTATATTTAATGGAATTCTATGCCTCCATCAGAAAGAATGACATTGTCCCATTTTGTTAGGAAATGGAAAGACTTGGAAAATATTATATTAAGGGAAGTAAGCCAGGCCCAAAGAAACATAGGTCCCATGATTTCGCTTATTTGCAATAACTAGTATATGTCTGAGACAACCAAACTGGGTCCTCTTGATATCTGCTTCCCAAATAGCTGGGATTATAGCATGAGCCCTTGTGCAGCTCACAGGTAGAAATAGGCAACTGCATGAACTATGCATCAGAAGGGATGTTTAGCTCCGTAGAAGAGTGTGTGATTAGAATGCACAACAATATATGTGGGTTCTGTGTCCAACATTACAAATGTCAGGCGGCCTTTCAGAGCTTACATTTAGTGGCATAAAAGAACTCAAAATGTGCCGGACAATGATGCTCACACTTGTAATCGTAGCTACTCAGGAGGCTGAGGTCTGAGGTTGGGGTTTGAAATTAGCCCAGGTTCAAGTCCAGGAGGCTCTTACCTCCGAGTAATTATCAGGAAGCCAGAAGAAAGCTGGGTGCAGGTGGTTCCTGCCTGTAATCCTAGCTATGCAGAAGGCTGAGATCTGAGGATCTTAGATCAAGCTAGCCTGGGCAGGAAAGTCCATGAGATTCTTATCTCCAATTAATCACCTAAAGCTTGAAGTGGAGTTGGGGTTCACCTAATAGAGAACTAGTCTTGGACCAAAAACTCAGGAAACAGTTCCCCATATGTTAGGAAATGGAAAAACATGGAAAAAATTATATTAAGTGAAGTAAGCCAGGCCCAAAGAATCATAGGTCCCATGGTTTCCCTTATTTGCAATAATTAGTATATGTCTAGGACAAGCAGAAATGGTCAAATAAGTTGATGTTAGGTGAAATGGACCCCAAGATAAGGACCCAAATGGTTTTTCTTGCTTGCTATTGTGTCTAACATATTTATAAGATGATTTCTTTGTTGCTTTGTATGTCCCTCCCATACGGTATAACCCCTGTTTTCACTGTATTTGATGTTGGTATAATTTGGGGAGGGGAAGGGAAAAGACAAATTGTTTTAATAGGGATACAAGTGGACCCATTGCAACAATGAGATATACAAGATGTTATGTCGAAAAATGAACTTTACAACTTCGGTGGGGGGTTGGGAGGGAGCTGTGAGGGTAGGGATGGGAAGGGGAAACCGAGGAGGAGGAAACAATGCTTGATAAGAAATGTACTCATAACCTTGCCCATGTAATTGTAACCCCTCTGTAAGGCATTTTCACAATAAGAAATTTTTAAAAATAGCAGCAGCTCAAGCACAGTACCCAAACCCTGATCTCAACCTTCATGATCTGCACACACACACACACACACACACACACATTAAGTAGAGCTGTGGCTGTGAAAGTAGAGCTCAATCCTTGAGAAAGGGACCTAACAGACACCACCTAGCCCCTAGTTCTAGCCCCAGTACAGGTGCACACTCACAAAAAAATGAAGAGCAAGCCAGGCACCTGTGGCTCATGCTGTAATCCTAGATACTCAGGAGGCTATCTGAGGATCATGGTTCAAAGCCATCCCAGGCACAAAAGCCCATGAGACTCTTATCACCAACCAACCACTAGAAAACCAGAAGTGGTGCTGTGGCTCAAGCAGTAGAACATTTGCCTTGAGCTGAAGAGACCAGGGATAGTGCCCAAGTCCAGAGTTCAAGCTGCATGACCAACAAAAAAAAGAAAGAAGAGCAAATTAGCTTGAGCATGGAGAAATACACATACACAGCACAGAAAATAGTGGAGAAGGGCTGGGAAGGTGGCTCAGTGGTAGAGTGCTTGGCCTTGCATGCATGAGGCCCTGGGTTCAATACCTCAGCACCACATAAGCAGAAAAAGCTAGAAGTGACACTGTGTCTCAAGTGGTAGAGCACTAACCTTGAGCTGAAGAGCAGAGGGACAGTGCCCAGGCCCAGAGTTCAGGCACCATGACTGGCAAAAAAAAAATAGTGGAGAAAAAGATTATGTATACACATTAAAATTATCTGGAAGATCAGGGTATTGGGGGTCACAGGTGTCATCCTTGCTACTTAAGGTTCTAAGATCTGAGGGTCCCTTTCTGAGACTAGCCCAGGCAGGAAAGTACATAAGAAACATATCTCCAATATAGTAGAAAATTCCAGAAGTGGAGTTGTGGCTCAAATGGTATAGCACCAATTTTAAGTGAAAAACCTAAAGGACAGTGCCCATGTGCAGAGTTCACACTCCACTACTGGCACAAAAAAAATTAACTAGAGAGGACAGGTATGTGGCTCACACCTATAACCCCAGCCCCTCAGAGACAAGAGATTAGGAGTTTCAATGTTAAAGGCCAGTGCAGGCAAGAAAGTTAGCATTGTGTCCATCTTGACAAATAAGCCTGGCACTGTGGGACAGACCTGTCATCCCAGAGTGTGAGAAGACCAGCTGTGGAGGATAGTGGTATAGTGCATGCTGCGTGCGTGCGTGCACGGGCACACGTACACACACACACACACATGCGCGCGCACACACACACACACACAAACATTTTAAATTAGAAAGTAATTATCTGGATGGCTGGAGCTGGACCTGGGTGGTGGAATACTTAGCTATCATGTGTCACACTATGAAATCAGTCCCAACTTCAAAGCTAAAATCATTTAAATTAAAAATTATCTGAGATGATTAAAGACAATTAAACTTGGGAAAGTCTCATAAAGTTTTACACTTTGCAGTAGCACCTTTTTTTTTTTTTTTTACCAATTTGGGTGGCAAACATCTGTGTTTTGTAACTCAAGCTTCTTGACAAGGCTGGTGTGCATTTGGTCCTTGATTACATACCCTAGTTTTCCTTACTCTTACTTGGATCTGCAAGGCTCATACCTACATCCGGGCCTTTACACTTGCTGCTCCCTGTGCCCAGCACATTCTTGACCTAGGTAAACATGGGGCATGCTCCTTCGGGCTGCTTGTGCCCTCCTATTCAGGCCATCCTAAGAAGCTTCTTTCGCCCTCCCCCACATCACACTCAATCACTCATTTGTTTGTTCATCTCTATCTGAAATGGTATTTTCTCTCCTAAATCAGACGCCAATCATCTTTTTCTGAAAATAGCCAGCCAGTAAATAGCGCAGAATTTGCTGATCATGTAGGATTCATCTTCAGATTCATGAATAGTACTTGAATAAACAAGCTTGAGTTTCACAAACATTAGAAATAAGGTTACAGGTAAGGTTCACACGAAATAAGACACAGGCTAAATTTAGCCATGTGGGAGCAATATTGTCTGTTGCATTTTTTCAGGTTAGTTTTTACTTTATCTTTTAGGGGTGTGTGTGTGTGAGAGGGAGAGAGAGAGATGTTACTGGGGTGGGAACTGAAGGCTGGAGCTCTACCACTTGAGCAAAAACTCTACTTCCTAATTTTTTGCTGGTTAATTGAAGATGAAAGTAACATGGACTTTCCTGTCCAGCCTTTGAGTTGCCATTCTCATGTGGACCCTTCTGGGTATCTAAGGTTATGGACTGAGCTACTGGATCCTAGCTTTTCTGCTTCAATTAGCGCTCTATCTCTACCATAGAGAATGTACGCTCAGTCTTCAACTTGCCACTCTGAAGGTTCTTATTTGCTGTATCAATTCACTGAAGGACAGAAGTGAGTGAATAGAGCCCTAGTTGAGGCCTCAGTTACCCTTGCCTATCTCAGACCAGTTCCCTAAAGATGTGTTTAACATAGATGAGAAGACTGACACCAGTGACTTCAAATAGAATTTTTATTATTTGCCGTCCTTTTAGGGAGCAGTCCTAACCAGATATGGGGCCAAGAAGCAGAGTAGGGACTGGGTTGGGTGGAAAGGCTTGAAGATTTTCTCTCCTTCTCCATTGTCCAGGGAGGTTGGGGCTATGATTGGGAGTAGTACCACTACTCCACTGAAGGGATTGGGGAAAACTAATAAGACAGGGCTGGTTAGGGCAATCCATTTCATTTAAGGGAATATTGCTTTGGCCTCTAGCCCAATTGATAAACAACAAGCCCAGAGTGATGATCTCAAAGATGTCAAGGGTGTCAAAGTACAGGGCCTGCAGGTAGGAGAGAGAAAAAATGAGGTTGTCAGAGACTCTTTATTCAAGCTACACCTGAGAAGACTCCTGAAACGCTCACCTGTCCCACCAAGTGTCTCATCTGCCCCTGACGCTCCTCTGTGATCCATCTCTTATTTACCCTTCTGGGGCACTATCTGCTCTGCCCCATACAAGGCCATTGTTTTCTTTCTCCCAAAACCATCCACCCGTTTTCCTGGCATCAGCCTTCCTCTAACCCACCCAACCCACCCATCCTGAGGATGTATCAGATGTGTGTGTCCAAGCATCTGAGACCAAGCATTCACTCTGAACACTGCCTCTTTTCTCCAGCACTCACCCATAGGATACTCACTTAGTTGTTGGGCTAGGAAAAGGGGCTCCATCACTCATGGCATGAGACAGTAGTAGAAGATGGTAGTGCCGACACTGTTGTGACTCTGTGTCTAGCTGAAGCCTGGAGGACAAGAAGGGATAGAAGTTAACCAAATTTGGATTTAAACCCGACCCAATGAGGACAGCCTGGGAACTGGGATTGGAGATACTAACCAATAATTTCAAAGATACCTCCGATGGGCGATATAAGACAATGAGAGCAACAATTAATGTCAGCAAAACCATGAATGCACCGATGAGAACTCGCAGCTTGTAGCGAGTAGGATGCGGATCTGTGGTGAGGAAAGGCAAGTCAGCGGGGAAGGCTCCTGTGCTGCCCTTCCTGAATGTGCTAAGAACTTTGTGCATGCATGTGTTCCTGTACTGGGGTTTGATTTCAGGGCCTGAGTACTGTCCCTGTGGATTTTTAGGCTCCTGGCTGGTACTCTCCCCACCTGAGCTACAGATCCACTTTGAGTGCTTCGGTAGTTACTTGGAGGCAAGAACCTCACAGACATTCCTGCCTGGGCTGGCTTTGAAGGGCAATCCTCAGATCCCAGCCCTGGAATAGGGAGGGTTTTAGGTTAGCCACCAGCACCAATTCCAGGAGCAGGCCTTTAATTCTACCCCCTCTGAAATCCCTGCTTTCTTCTCTGGAAGAGAAGTGGACTGTGGCTTCATCTTGTCTATCCATCTGTGCCTCCAGGAGACACAGGAGCAGACAAAGAGCTTTGTCTCCTCCCTCTGACAAGCTCTCTTCCTTTGTCTACCCTTCCACAAATGTCTGAAACCTTTTCTTCCTCTCTCTGTTCACTTCTGCCTCCCCATCAGACCAGCACCTGTCTTTCTTCCTGGTCTCATTGCCTTCCCTCTTTCTCTATCTGACTAGCTTTACCTTCTTCCTGTCAAAATCATTCCTACCTACCCACCTGAGCCTCATCCTTCCCTACTTTGGCCTCCATATTTTTCTGCCATTTCTGAACTTTTTTCCTTTCCTTGTTTCCTTGTTTCCTTGTTTCCTTCCTTCCTTCCTTCCTTCCTTCCTTCCTTCCTTCCTTCCTTCCTTCCTTCCTATTTCCTTCTTTCCTTCCTTCCCTCCTTTTTTCTCTTTCCCTTCCTTCCTTCCCACCCACTCTCTCTCTTTTTCATTTGTGACACTGAGTATCAAATCCTCAGTTGGATTTTATTTTTTCTTTTGGGTTAGGAAACCAAATATATTTTTGATCCGGTACAGGGGCTTCAACTTGGGGCTGGAGTGCTGTGCTTTTAGTTGTATCCCTCAAGTTTGTCTCTCTGCCACTTGAACCACAGCCTCACTTTCAGCGTTTCTTTAGTGGATAATTGAGATAAATGTCTCTTAGACATTCCTGTCCAGACTGACTTCAAACCATTATCTTCAGATCTTAGCCTAGCCCTGTTCCCTGAGCCTCTCTGCCCCACACTTTCTCTGGCAGACCATTGATATTTGCCTTCTCTGCTCATAAGAGAACTCTGCCTCCTGGTGAATCCATTCCTGCCACCTCTTTCCATCCAGCCCCCCTCCCCCCAGAGCTCCAGTCTGTATCCAAGCAACCATGCCCAGGCTCTCTATTCATCCACCCCTGGCACCCAGCTCCCTGGGCCTCCTCACCCGCCGCCCTCCCTGTCCCCCAACCCCTATACCTCGGGATTCAGCAACATTGGTGGCTTCAGGCACAAGGCAGGCCACACATGGAGGTGCATCCAGAGGTTGACCAGATCCTCCTCGCTGTATATAAGGATCATTTGCCCTCGTATAAAACCTAGACATGGGAGAAAAGACATGGCATTCAGGATGTGATAGGAGTACAAGGATTGACACCCCAAAACCGCACCCTCGAAGTGTCAGAAATCTACACAGGAGATGGCATGCCCCCTGCCCTTGGGTATTGATGGGTCCAAGGTCTGAGAAGGAAGCAGCTCAGCGGCTCTCCTTCCAGCCCCCAGCTCAGGACCTGGCTGTACTCATTGGAGAAGATGAGGTATCCATAAGTGACCATGAGTCTCTACATGAAGAACATAAGCCTGATGGACACATTGGCCATAGCTTACAGCCTGCACTGGGAGGGACTAAGGTCTACGAGTCAGGGACCTGTCATTCTGAGAGCCTTGGACTTGGCCTGAGTCTTCAATCCCAGCTCAGGCCTCTAGAGTTCCCTCCTTCCAGACTGGCATTCATCCTGTACACACGGAGGTGCTGTGTGGCTAGCCAATCCTCCCTTCTCTGCTAACCTCTCACCCTTTCCACCCACCCCTAATATCTTCTCCTTCCATCTGAAAGTCCCCGCTGTCCCTCTGTGTCCCACCCTCCTACTGTTTTATCCTTGCCTCACTCCCCATAAACGGATTCTTCCCCATCCAGCTAACCATCTCTGCTTCCCAGCGCTCTCCAGAAAGAGCCCCACTCCAGCTGATCCTCTGATCTCTGCTATTCTCACAGCTACTGGGCGTTAAAATAGTAGGCAAACTCACTGAGGCAGCACACTGTCCTTCATTTCCTGAGGGTTTCTGACCGACCGTCTGAAAGTACTCCTTAGTCAGGGTCTCTTGCCTGAATCTAAAGTTCTGAGGCTGCTATGGGAACCATCACACACAATGAGTGCCCCTCCCCTCCCAACTGGCTCATCACACAGGCCCCTTGGCTGCCCACTCACTGGCAGAGTTACATGTAGATGAGAGGTCATCAGGGTGGCACACAAGACCAAAGTCATAATGGGCACATTATGAGTATGACATTTCTTCAGGAACAGAAACACTCCTTGGGGTTATGGTATAAGAGGCTCGTTCAGAGGAACTCTTTCCCCTTCTCTCAGCCACTCTGTCATTATCCCTATCACACATATGTAACCCTTGATGTCCACCGTGGGGCTCCACCATGAGTAATTCAGTGGAGACAGGATTAGAGGGTCTGTGTGGTGGGAACTCCTACTCTCCTACGTCTCTATTGTGAATCAACTGTGAACAACTGGGTTTCACAGGTGCTGTTGAGACCTTCGGATAGGAATAGCTAATTACCTAATGTTCTTCACTACAAATCACAGCTTAGCCGTGTGTGTGTGTGTGTGTGTGTGTGTGTGTGTGTGTGTGTGTGTGTGTGTGTGTGTGTGTGTGTGTGTATGCTGGTACTGAGGCTTGAGCTCAGGGCCTGGGCACTGTCCCTTATTTTACTCAAAGGTAATGATATACCACTTGAGCTCCAGTTCTGGCTTTTTCTTTTTCTTTTTCTTTCTTTGCGTTTTTTATCTTTTTCTGTTTTCTTTTGGTCAGTCATGGGGCTTGAACTCAGGGCCTCAGCTCTGTCCCTGAGCGTCTCTGTGCTCAAGGATACTGCTTTAGTACTTGAGCCACAGCACCACTTCTGGCTTTTTCTGAGTAGTTTATTGGAGATAAGAGTCTCATGGACTTTCTTGCCTGGGCTGGCTTCCAACCATGATCCTCCGATCTCAGCCTGCTGAGTAGCCAGGATTACAGGGGTGAGCCACCAGTGCCCAGCCATTTCTGGCTTTTTCTTAATAAATTGGAGATAAGAATCTCAGGACTTTCCTCCCTGGGCTTACTTTGACCTGGGATTCCCAGACCATTATAGCCCCTATGGCCAGGCTCTGGTGACTTATGTCTGTAATCAGTATCTGGCCTTGAGTTCAAGCCCCGGAATTGGCACTTACAAAAAAAAGAATTGGGCATTTTTAATCTCCAGATACTTTCAGAATCAAATCCATCATTTACCAGTATACACACAGATAATTTTTTTTAAAAAGCAAGCTTTCAATTACAACTATCAGACCACAAACCAACTTCCTCAGAGTCAGATTGAGAAAATCAGACATGCAACATTCCAAAGCCAGGGACCAGAGTCAAGGACAGTAACACACACACACACACACACACACACACACACACACACACACACACACACACACACCACAACCCCACACAATCATAGCTGTGTCAAAACAGACAGAGAAGGTAGGAGAGGAGTTCACACCTGTAGTACCAGCACTCTCTACATTAGGCATTGAGAGTCAGAGGTGTGAGGCTAGGGAAGGAGGATTCTGAGACCCAAGAAAACCCCAGGTATATAGTAAAACCTCAAGTCAGAAAAAGGAGGATCTGGGCTGAGTGGTAGAGTGCTTGTCTCTCATGCGAGAGGCCCTGGCATAGTAAAAAACTATACATAAGTCAAACCATAGAGGGTTTGTGAGTTGTGTACATTTGGAAACATCTGCAGACGCACATCTGGACTCCCAGTGGACACAGTACAACAGATTCCACCATAGGATGGACCTAGAGTCAATCACAGGGTCTGAACAACAGCCAAACCTAAGGAAATATAAATAGAACATTTGAGAGCCTGGGCACTGGTGGTTCATACCTGTACTCCTAGCTATTGAGAAGGCTGAGAGCTGAGAATCATGGTTCAGAGAGAGCCCAGGCAGAAAGTCTGTGAGACTCTTTTCTCCAATTAATCACCAAAAACCCAGAAGTGGAGCTGGAGATCAAGTGGCAGAGCAACAATGTTGTGTGAAAAGGCTAAAGAACAGCAACACACCCTAAGTTCATAACTAGAACTGGCACCAAAAAAGAATACTTGCAAGTCAGGTAGGGATAGAGAGGTTGAAAAGCCAGCTAGGCCTCACAGGAGGAGTGGAGGATCTGAGAGTTACCCTGTGGGTCTATGTGCAGGAAAGGGCTGATAACCGGAGGAGTTCAGGTAGGATCATGCAAAGGTCACACGTGGCTGGAGTTGGTGGGAGCACATGTAAGTGAAACGATTCCTCTCTTGCTGCCTTCCAGTCTCCCCAGCACAGCACAGCCAGGGAGATCCCACCTCACCCCATCCTCTTTACCCTCTGACTCCCACCCCCAGAGTCCTCACCCCAACATTGTGCACACACATGGCCAAGGCCACCACTACCACCCTGCAAGCCTGAATGCTCTCTGTTCAAGCTGCTCATAGGTTTGCATGCCTAGGGAGTGGCAGGAAGGAATGGGATCGTGGGTTCAGGAAGTCAGGGTTGGGGTAAGAAGTGGGAAGGGTGAAAGTCTGAGTGCCTGGACTTGGGGAAGTGATAGACGCTAGAAGTGAGGGTTCCGCAGTTAGGTGGAATTAGGGGGGGGAGGTAGAGTCTAGCATGTGCATGTAAGGACTGGAAGTGAGGATGCAGGTTTTGGAGCCAGGATGTGGGTTCAGATCACAGAGTGGAAGAAACCATTGGATCAGGGCCAGTTGGAAGTGGGAACTGGGACTAGAGGAGTAGAGAGCCGAGGTAGGACCTCTGTCTTAAGATGGCTTAAAGGCTTTGTGGACACCCCCTTACCTCTAGATGTCATCATCTGCTCTTGGGGCAGCTCTCTGGAAACCAGATCCCATACTCTGAGGTGTAGTGTTTCACACCCTACAAATATGGGGTAAGAAACCTGAAAGCGGTGGTCTGAGGGCTCCGGGGGTGGGCACACTCACAGCATCACAAGGCGTTCTAAGTCCAACACATGGGCTCCTGAGCAGACGTGGTCAGTTTGGACCTGTGCACCTGCATCCCACACCCAGACTCGCATCCATCTTGCCCCCAGATCTGGGTCCTGCACCTGGATGGCCCTGGTTTTATTCAGGAAGAAATATCAAGAAGAAACAGAAACAAGAAGGTATGTTTCCTTTAAGTGATGTGAGCTGAAACTATAAACGGTTAAACAATAAGAGAAATGTTCCTTGCTTTGGATTTGGTAAAAATTCCAAAATATGATGCCAAAAACAACAGTAACAATTGAAAAGAAGTATATAAAGTATAATTTTAAAAACTGTACAAGAGAGTGGACGGACAATCCACAGGATGTGAGAAAATATTTACAAGTCAGTAGTTCATAAAGAGTTATTATCCAGCATGAAGAACCCCTACAACTCAATAAGAAATAACCAATTCAGAAAGGGTCAAAGGAATTGGGAAGCTATTAGAAAAGATATATATCTGTAGATGGATAGATATATAGGTAGATAGGTAGATAGATAGATAGATAGATAGATAGATAGATAGATAGATAGATAGATAGATAGAGATGACCAGAAGGCACATGGAAACTTCCTCAACACCAGCAATCATTAGGACAATGCAAATCAAAATTATAGGGAGGAATAGCTCCATACTGACTTGTATGGCTATTTTCTTGCAACAACTTCAACCCAACGGAAACTAATGAGGATTGGAAGAAATCAGGATCCTGTTGCAACTCTGGTAGAAATGGAAAATGGTGTAGCTACTGTGGAAAAATATCTGTTTCCTCAGAAAGTGAGAAATCACCATATGATCTAATAATTCTCCTGTCATATACCACTAACCTATTGACATAGTCATCCAAAAGAAATGTGATATGGCACAGAAACTACTAAAATTCCAAAATTTAGTGACTTCCCATCCTCTTTGCCAAGTTCCACTCATTAGAGCCAAGTCACATGTCCACCTAAACTGTACAAGATGAGATTACACAAAATAGAAACATCAGTAGGGGAACTACTTTAGAGACTGCCCCTACAGACAGTACCAAAGGAATGTTTAGATTTTTCTACTCTGATTCCCTGCATTTTTCTCAGCCAGCAAACCCCTTCCTCTCTTGCCAGTCCTGGGGTTTAAACAACAGCCTGGCTGCTGTCCCTGGGCTTCTTTTGCTCAAGGCTAATGCTCTACCACGTGAGCCACAGCACCACTTCTGGCTTTTCTTTGAGTAGAGGATAGTTTATTGGACACAGGAGTCCTGTG